CAGAAGAAATTCAAGAACGTTGACAAACAAAGATGATAGCACGGACGAGTTAGAAACGCAACTGGCCGACTGTCTACACAAACACCATACTGGAAGCTTCGTAAGCGATCGCGACCTCGAACACCTCCGCCCAGTAGGCACACACATCCTTCAATTGCATGGTTTTCCATCGGAAAGGCCTACCAGTCCGTCTGATCTTGGAGATGCGTAACTCTCCCTATCACGCGACAGCGATGTAGTTAGCCGAGTAACTCAAACCTGATCGGTATTAACTGGCAACACAGAGCTATTGGGATACTTTGGAATTCATTGAAGACGTCAAAGACCTAAAAAATAAACGGTACGATGATGTCTCATCACTCTTCACAAGCGTCCCGGCCACAGAGACAGTGGAACACATGTGTGAACTCCTGTCAACCAACCACCAGGAAATAGGTGTTCCGACGAACACCCTCGATAAATTATTATTAAAATGCACAAAAATATGCAGTTCCTTTTAGACAACCAAATATATCGACAAATAGACGGAGTTGCTATGAGGTCACCTCTTGGTACTCTTCTAGTCGTTGTCTTCATGGGTAAGTTGGAGAAGCTTCAGTTAAACGACCAAATCAATAAGCTAAGGCACTACGGTCGTTACGTTGACGACATCTTGACAATTGTCTTGGATGCTGTAAATAAAACACAAGCGCCGATCAGGTTTGCATTAGAGGTGGAAACGGCAGGCTCTCTGTCTTTCTTAGAGGCCCTTCTAAGCAGAAGTGCTGACGGCAGCGTTCGAAGAAGTGTCTATCGAAAAGAAACCTAGTCTGGGCAATATACGCTTTTCTGCATTTTCGTAACCCTGAAACAGAAACATATGTTCGGCAGGTAGCACTGATGAAAAACTTAGGAGAATCCAGGACCTGTTTCATGAGAACGGGTATTTTGACAGATTTATTGCACGGAATCTTATAAAACGAACGGCAAAACTCACCGCGCCGACGGCGGAAAAGAAAACTCTGTTTCTCAAAGTGACCTTTCATGGGGACGCGGGGAGTGAACTCTTGAGAAGACGCCTTGAGCAAGCTGTTTCACGGACCTTCCCGGAAGCAAGAGTTCAAGTATTGCTCTCGACCA